CAAGCTGCTTGGAGATGGTCTTATAACCTTTACCTTTAACATGCAGGCTGAAGTGGGAATGTCAGAAATGGTTGGGGGTTCTTAAAGAGACAATTTCAAGGCATTTAGATTGGCTGTGATGCATAGTCAAATTTATTTTTGATATAAACAGCATTTTGTTTCTTGATTGTGGTATAGAATTGAACTATGTGCCTGAAAATACATAAATACCCCCACTTTAGGCTTTAACCAACACTTTCTGGTCATAAACGTTTATAAATTATGTCCATTCAGAAGCAAAGGTATTTTGTTCAAAAGAGGATTTAGAGCTTCATGACTATTTCGACATTACCTAAATTATGCTAAAGTTAGGTTTTTCTGTCTAAATACATTGAAAAACAATAAATGAATTGTTTATTCTTCCATGTGTTTATTCATCTGTTCACTCATTCTGCTGCTCTTCCTTTCATTCATAATCAATATTCACTGTCACTCTTCCATATGGAGCTGGTTGCATGTACAGTATGTCACAGAGTTGTCTTGGGTGTACGCATCTTCTCTTCTAACAGCTGTCATGTCATGCAGCGCATCTGCATAGCGATAACATGACAACGCTGCGTGTCATCCAAGCTTAATATTATGACACGTGTCTTGTGTGTGCACGCAGTCTGTTGTGTCTGTCGTCTTATCACTCTGCGGTTTCCTGCAAATCATTTATGCAAAACTTCTGATACGGTGCTAGAACACAGTAAGAAACAATGTGATACGCTATCTCAGAAAACAGACCTTTATCTAGTCAAGGTTACTTTGTTCTGTGCATTTCGCTTTAAACTGTTTGTCGTTGGTTTTCAGGCAGCTGTAGCTCTGCAGGAGGTAAGCTGGAAGGAAGTGTACCCCATGGACTTTTATTCCAATCAGAGTTTGGGGCCGTGGACACCCAACCACCCTGACAACCAACCTGTGCGGCCCGCTCGTAGACAGACCCAGGTGAGCGTGACTGCCAGATAAGAGAATGACTGACAAGAGGGAGAGGGATGAGAGGGAGGGGAATCTGGATGTTTTCAGTGTTTGATGCTATTGTCAATATGCCACCACACTGACACCCAGTGGCACAGTGACAGCAGAACATAAGTGTGGAAATTTCTCCTTAAGGTGTGGTTGTAACATTGTCCTTCAAGGGTTTTCTAACTGTTATTCATTTAGGAATTAAACAGGTGGTTAAATATCAGTTTAAACACAGCTCTGTTAATTCGCCCACTGGCAGCGATAAGGCCTAATATTACCACTAATCTGTCTGACACGGGTATTATCACTGGTCCAAGTGTTAATTCTATCCCACTTCCTGCCTGCAGAGACAAGGCGTGGAGCCAGCCCTTCCTACCAGACAGTGTGTGAAGAGTCAGAACGCCCCCTGTGGCTGTCATGGGGAATAACACATCTGTGTTTTTTTATTCATCTCATGCCTTAAGAAGCAGGTCAGAACAGAGGAGAGTGGCCAGACCGGCTATCAGCGAGCGAGACCAGAGCCAGAAGAGTTTTAAGCCTCTCGCCGGCCAGATTTAAACCTCACTCTTTCATCAAACCAAAGTCTGAGCTCATTTCTCAAAAAAACTACAAACAGAGTCTCGTTTTTGCAGAGCTAATATATTCTGTGTGTGCCTTCTTGTAATGCACACATTGCTTTTTTTAATTAAATTGGGAAAGAGTGTGGCATGATCTTGAGCATGTTCTATGGAATAAAGTGTTAACGAGCCTTTAGTTGAATATATCTGTCAGACAGAGCTGCAGTTTGTCTCATTATGAGGATTCAAAACTACATAAACAGATTGTGGGAGGCACGTTTGTTGATGTACAGTGTAAATAAACTGATTTTTCTGAAAACAATAAATCAGAAATGGAGCCTCTATCATTTTGTTTGCTTTTCCTTTTAACCTAGAGCTGTGGAGCTTTATGAAGCCGAGAACTGAGAGCTCCTCAGTGTGTGCAGAGCTAGTCACGACTGCTCTCCATCCTCGTTATTTATTTATCATTGAGTCTGTCAATAAATAAACACTATATTGGTGTTTTTTTGCAATAACTGACTGACAGTGACTCAACATGGCCTCAGTATATCCACAATACTTGTGAAACTTCCTCATGTGACTGAACACAGTCTCAGGTGTGTTTGTGCTTCTGTGCCTTTTCTTATTTTGCCTGCAACTACCAGGCTTCTCTCGTCTCTTTGGGAACGCGGTCTGGTGCGATGCGCCCACCCTGAAAGGTATCAGGATTTCTCCTGATGTGTTCCACTAGTGGTGTTGATCTGACAAAGCTCCGCACTTGTCAGGATTTGCTGTGTGAGCTGTAGAGTGGAGGCCAAAAAGAAATTATTGACCAACAACGAGCGCACGCTCAACTGATGGTTTGTTTGTTTGTTTATTTATTTATTTTTGCATATTTGTTCATAAATAAAGAGTCGAGGGGATTCACAAATCTTTTTTTCCATCTGAAGTCCACAGTTTTTTTAATCAGTCTGAAAA